ATCAAGGCGTTTTAAAACTTAAGATTTTATGTTGTAACTGTGGGACTTTTTAAAAATCAAATGCAGTCCACCCATTAGAGTGGGGATGGGGAACCTTTTTCGGGCCAAGGATAGAAAAATCAATTGGGTACTGCACACAAGTGAGAAGCAAGAAAACAAAAAACAACCCTCACTATCATGACCCCCAAAGACACTTCTCACAATCCCTTCGTACATCAGAGTCTAGGGGGTGCAGGCTAGTAGAATTTGTGTGCTCCAGCCCCATGGTGGGGCAGCAGAGGGGCTGGAGTTCCCGTGCAGGCTCTCGAGTGCTGGGAGGAAACCCTGAGCTATGGAGGCTGGATCCAGGCAAGCCGGGGGCCCACATCCAGCCTCCAGCCCTGAGGGTTCCCCATCTCTGCATTAGAGGGCTTGATTTTTGGTTTGGTTTGGTTTCTCAGGCTTGCTTCTTATTGATATCATTGTATTTCTGAACATTTTCCCAGAATGACTTCACATTCATCAGAAGTTTCAGGCTATTAATTCTCTTTTGTTCCATTGTTTTTGGCTTTTTTCTACTGCAGTAGATATTTTTTCTTTTTTGTACCATAGCTTACTCCATTTTAACAAACTTTAGCAGAAGAATGTGTATCTACGGCATTTATTATAGTTTTTCTGCTAAACTAAAGCAGGAGCTTGTAGCAAAAGAAGCTTTGGCATAACTTTCAGTGTTCTGCTCTTATTGTGTATGAACAGATTAACAAATACTACTTGCTTGCTTATTTCATATAAGTTGGTTTAGTTGGCCATCCCAGTGTTTCATCCCCATGTTTCTTCATGTCCTGAAGTAACCATTGAAGCCAGGTCTTAATTTATTATTGATTTTTAAAGGGTGCAAAATATTTCATTTTCTGTTTCTCTACAGTTTAGCCCAACATACTTTTTCATGGACATTTTATTTTCTGCGTGTGTTTTATTTTCTAAGATAAGGTTTTCTTTGCCATTTTATTCCATTGTCACAACTTCTTGCCTAGCTTGTAGGTGTTACCTCTGCTCTTTCTTTAAACTGTGCACACTGAATCCTACATTATTCTCTGTATATGACTTCTTTTAATTCAGCCCACATCTGTTCAACTCCATATCCTGAGTCAAGTGTTTGAAAGCTGATATTTAATGTTAATTAGAAATTCTTTGTCAGTTAGATGGATTGCATATGATTACTCTTAAGCTGCCACTCTGTTTTTTCTTTATTGTTTAAACCATACAAAATCTAGATATCTCGGTAATGTTGCATCTTGATTCTGGAGAGATTTTTCCTATCCCGATGCTACAGAGAAATGACAAATGATGGGTTTTTTTTAATTCAGAGATTAATACTATGGAACCCTGTCGATAAAATATAGCTCAATTTGTAGAATTTGAATCTTCCATCAATGTGTTCATTCACATTCCTTCATCAATATGTTTGTCTCATTCATAACTGGTAAGGTTATTGAAATTTGACAGTGAGACGAGACAATCATGCATTAATTACCTAATTATACTTCAAATGCTGATCAGAATATTTTGAACTTCTATTTCAGGGTCTCAAACCACTTTACTGAATTTATCCTTCTAATGCCACTGAAAGCTAGAAAACAATACTGTCCTCATTTTTATATTGTGGAATTCAGATGGTCACTGCAGGAATGATGGAGGGGCGGGCAATGTTGTAACATATGTAAAAAATGCATCTGAAAGGACATGTTGTATAAAGGAGTAGAGATGTTAAATTGTGAGTAGTTTACTAATCAAATAGTCGATGCATTTTTGCATTGACTATTCAATTAGTCAATAGGGCGCCTCCGAAGTGTAGCAGCAGCCTTAGGGCTGTTACTACACTTCAAATGTGAAAGGGCCACCTGGAGCCTAGAATCAGCTGGGGACTCTCCTGCTGTCCCCGGGCTCCCTGCAGCACTGCCAGTTTGAAACGCTATGGGGAGCCTGGTGTCAAGTTCCTTGCGGCATTTCAAAGCAGCAGCGCCCTGTAGAGCCCAGAATCAGCTGTGGACTCTCCCGCCCAGGGTCCCTGTGGTGCTGCTGCTTTGCCGCGAGAAGCCTGCCATCAGGCTCCTTGTGGGAGTTCAAAGCATTAGCACCACATAGAGCCTGGGAACATCTGGGGATTCCTCCACTGAGCCCAGGCTCAGTGCAGAGCTGTCGCTTTGAAATGCTGTGTGCAGCCTAAGGACGCCCCAGTTGGTCCCGGGCTGCATGCGGCGTTTCAAAGGGGCAGCGCTGCGTGGAGCTTGGCGTCTGGCCCCAGGCTCCACCTGTTGCTGCAGCTTTGAAGTACTCCCTCTTCTTCCTCCCCTCCCCCTTGCTGCCTCTTTTTGATAGAGGTTGCAAGGGGGGAGTGACTAGTCAACTCAACTATCCGATAAGCATTTCTTTATCAGATAGTCGACTAATCTTTTCCATCCCTATAAAGGAGCAGTTAAAGATAACCATCTTCATTCTTTTCTTTGCTAATTAATTATGATAGTAATATCATTTGCATCTATCCTTGCTTTTCCTGTATGATCCATAGGGCAAGATGCCATTTTGAACTCTGTTATGAAAAGTCTTAATCAAATCAATCCGGAATTGCATAGTGAAGGTAGATTTTCCTTGTAGCTCATACTGTTGTTCTCTTCCCTTTATCCCCGCTAGTCCAATAATGTCATTTTCAAATGGCCATTTCCAATTTTTTAGTGTAGTTAACAAACAAAACTGTCAAGTGCTGCCCATTGTTAAAAGTAGTTATATATGGTACTGCGCAAATTTCCTTTGCTACAGTGATTCACAGTTAAGCTTTTAAAATTATTTCATTTATTGTACTCCAAGGCATTTACCTACCACTCTATCTCCCGTACACAGACACAAATAGTAGTCACAATACCAGCTAGAAATGCTAGGTTTTTTCCCTCAGAAACAAGGTGATTTTTTTCACTCCTCTTTTGGTTTCACTTATCATTGGTCAGAACAGAACTAGATATACAGGCAGTCCCCGACTTACGCGGATCCGACTTATGTCGGATCCGCAGTTACGAACGGCGCTGCCCCAGAGTACATGGACTGCGGGCCCTCGCGGTCCTGCCGCCCGAGTACTCTGGGGCTTTCTCTGCGTCTCCCTGGTCTGCAGACCAGGAAGACGCAGAGCAAAGC